GTAACCCATATTTAGATGCTTCGTTTCTTTTTTTTTCTTGTTACGAAGTAGTTAATTTGAACAAGTGGATTCGGGCCCGACATCCCTCTGAAATTTTTTTTAAAAAGTACGGAGAAAAAATCTGTAAAGTGCAAAGAATGTTCCGGAGTTATAGAATTGGGTGCTAGATCGACAAAAGGGATTACATACTTATTTGAAAACCCTTCATAAGACCGATATGAAAATTACAAAGGAAACACCGCCCAGTAGTATTGAATAGGAAACGAATCTGGAAATAAATCCGAATGATGGTTTTGATGAGCCGACATCACTCGTTCAACCAAAAAAAATAGGAAATTGGAGTTTTATTTTTCATTTTATAAAAACGAAAACACTGAGATGATGATATCACGAAGGGTTGCATTAGATGTTTGTTCATTTAATTCTTTGATTTCTTCGACGAATTAGAAAAATTATACGCTAAACCGGGGGATAGTTTATAGGATTCGGCCCATACTGTTGGAAATATCGTAGTGAAATATGGAACTTCCGTTAAAACTGGAATAATTGAAGATTTTCTTGCATTGCATCGACAAAATCACAGGTATTTTTCCCTTTTTTTAGGTTAATTGTATTTATAAGCTTTTTTTTATCGTAGATTTTCATAACTTTGGACGAATGGACATTTCTAAGAAACCGACGCTATTTAAATGTAAACGTTCATTCTCGTATGAATGACGACACCTTAGACATAAGTTTTTTTGAAATCCCATTTCCGAAATCCTTAATTTAAGCACTAAAAAAAAAAAAAATAAATAACCTCTCGATTTTTTTTCGTTTTATCTTTTCATTAATAATTATCAAAATTTTTCTTGGTGAAGGTTTCTGAATTGTTACTACCTTGTAAGGAAGGAAAGTTTCTAATTAGGATAGAATTTTTTCAGCTTAAATTTCTCTTTTTAAGTTTTACCTTTCGTGTGTACGCATAATATAAAAAGAGAACCTTCATATTAGCAAATAGAAGTTAATCTTTTATTCCCGTCAGTTACAGGCTGTAACAAAAGCTTGCAAAACTAGTAAATTTCGGTGTTCTGCACAGCCCAGCTCCGCGTGGGATTGCATTTCTTACTCAATGCATTTAAATAAGGTTAGTAATTATTGTAGGTACTTAATGGCGTCAACTATATAAAAACCCTCGAATAAATTTAAGAATAACGGATTAGTCTAATAAGGCATTAGAGAACGCTAAAATTGATGCTGTTGCCATATTATTTACTGTCTGGAAACTTTTAATACTTGTATAGGTGACTCCTGATATTCTTTTGAGTTTTGCAAGATGGTTAACAACGCTGAACGTTACTGTAAAATAATTCGTAAACCTGATTTTAGAAACTAAAGGAATTTCCAGACTTAATAAGCATGATTTTATAATAACTTCCTTCGAAATAGGCAAAATAACTTCAAGGTAGTTAAGGTTCTTTGACTGACCGGTATCTAAACCCTTTAAGCCCTTTAAAATCAATTGTAAAATGTATATATATATATAGAGAGAGAGAGAGAGGGAGGTGCATAGACGTGACCAAAACAAATAAAGCACTAAAAGGATTAACACTACTGCCAGCTTATTTTTCGTGGACCTTCATATATACTAACAACTAAGCAATGAAATAATCAACAAAAATCGTAAAAGTGCCTAAAAATGGTATTTTGCGTTAAATTTATGAACTGTTATGAACTGGGATCTTTCCGTCAACGCATAGTATAATAATAATCCCAACGTAAATTATTCGTTATACAAGAACCCTACAACGTTTTTAAACTGCAACTTGTTATACCATATGTTTTTTTTGCTATGTTCCAGAGTACCTTAGAGAGTACTTGTTAGATTCTAAGGAAATATAATAAAGTACATTACGCAAATTTTGCTTCCAAATATTGATTGAATATTACCCAGTTTAACAACATAAGTGTACCAATCACATAAGATTACCGAAATCGTAGAATGCAATTGTTGTCTAGTACTTAAATAGTTTACATTTAATCTATACAAATCTTTTTTTTATCAAAAATTATTAAGGTATAAACGGCTTGCCCTAATCAGAAAATATGGAAGGTTCCTACGCTTAATTTTTTTAATAAAAGATTGTATAGATTTAAAGTAAACTACTATAACCACTAAAAAATAAAAGCATTCCATGGTTTTAGTAACCTCATGTGATAAAAGCAAACTTATCCATCGACCCCCAATACCACGAAATAGCGTTCTGGGAATTGTGATGGGTCCCATTGGTTTGTGCGCTACAGCCAACTACTCAGAGGGTGTGGCCTCGACCCTATTTAGGCATACCTTTATAAATATCACTCAACTGGCTTACTAGGGCCGTAGTCGCCTACCATACTCATTGGATAGGCTCTTTATGACTCGTTAGTACACAAAATACTTGTGGTAGTTGCGGAAAACAGTTCTTAACAGCTCCTCTTCAGTATTAGGTTTCCTCATACTGAGAAAGGCTTGGACATTTTCACATTACGGTTAGTCAACTCTCTCCCTAGTCACTTAACTGAGCTTTTGGCGTAACTACATTTTCCTAATCTTATTTTTACAGTATAATGCTTGTACCTTTCAGCAAGTCTAACCAAATTCTAATAATGTTCAAATTCGTCTCTACTACTCACCAAGCAGTCATCAACAAAAACATGAGTATGATTCAAGCCCGGTGTAATAATATGTAGATATCTTTAATATTTTAAAGGTGCGCTTACGTAACCAAAGGAAGCACGTCCTTTTAACCCTCTCTCCGTTCGGCATAGGGAACGCAAAATAATTTACTCACTTTAGCTAACTTTGGATGGTAGAATCCTTCAGCATTGCCCAGGGCGGAAAATAACTGCTGTTTTTTTTTTTACATTAAATAACTTCCCTTTAGGAATGGCGTTTTATTTTACAGTGCATCGTTTATTAACCTCCTAAACCAACCCACATCCTCAAGTAGACCTCGGCTATAAGCTGTAAATTATCACAGTGGCTTTATCTAACACAGATTTGGCTTTTAAAACTTGTTTATGGTTCTAGTAGTTATTGTTGGTTGGCACTAATAACTCCGCTTTCGATAACTTTTCACATTCTTGTTGAATCATCAGGCGCTACAACTTTTCTTTTACAATGTACTTGTTCCAAACTGGGGTAAATCCTTCTATTACATATCCTTTTAGTGACTCTAGTTTCATAACAGACTTTTTATCAGATTTCATATGAGCCCTTGTATGCGCCAGGTTTTCTTATCTTCGCATGATTAATCTCCACATATCTTAAGCCTTATAGTTGACTTTCAAATGTCATTAACCTTCAGAATGCACTCTTTTCTTTTTATATCATCAAATCCCTTTATTTACATTTCATCTCTTTTTCCGTTAATGTAAGGTGCTATCTTTCACGTTCACCGGTTTCTGGATCTTCTGCTCCTTCTTAGCTGCCTGTTTCTGCAACACAAATTTATTTGAGTGTCTCTCATAATCACTTTTTCAGAGGAGGTTTTCATTTCGCTTGGTAATTCGTGCCCTACGACTTTCATTCGTACTTAGGTCCGCTCAGCGCACATACCGTGGTATGTGCACTACCAATAGTTTTAGAATCGATAGCCCCCGAACGCCCAGAAACAATTTCTTTTTAAAAATGGTGTTTTAAAGGATTCTTTTCCAAAGTTTTATAACTAATGTAACTTGGATGAGATCTATGGCGCTATTCTATTACTTGTAGTACTATTATTATTTTGCTTTTCGTCTTTATTGACATATTCTACTACACTGTGATGCTAAAGCTCATTCGTTTAGCTAGTGGCATTATAATTTGTTAATAAAGTCCACGCCGCAATCAGGCCTATAGTAAGCCAGTGACATAAATATATGTAATAAAAAAAACCTGATTATCCTCCTTTTTTTTGCGCTCCTTTGCCTTGTAGTTGTTTGTTTCGTTTACAGCTCTTCATAAACCTTAAAATAAAATTAAAACAAAAAATAATAAGCTCATGGATTGTTAGGAACACCTTGCCTCCCATACTTTGCTATTTATTGGATGGACAATCCTAATTAATTTGCGTTTGCTAAAATATGTAAAAGAAAATGTAGTTGAAATAGCTTTAGTAAAGCGAAAAAGTTTCTTCAAACCCTATACTACTCAAAATTCTAAAGACACATTGATAATAGGCTATCTCGTTTAGATTTATTTATAATCTAAACGAAAATAAAAATTAATTTTTAAAACACTAAAAAATATTTAAACTTCAAAGCAAGAAACGAACCCCTCGTAAGAAAGAGTATTCTTTTTTAAGATATTATGTGCATGGTTATAATGCCACTGACAATTAATTTTCTTTTCAACCAACCAAATAGTAAGTACATCATTTTATATGTTGTATTTTCATCAAGTCAAATACTTCACTCTTTGCTAAATTTTTTTTTAAGTTGTTAAATTATTCGCAAAAGTAAAGATGATTATATTGTATAGTTTTTTATCCAGGTCTACAGATGTATAACATTCCTCTAAACCATTATGTCACCCTTCGCTCCCTCAAATATTTTTTGAAATAGAAATAAGCATTATATAATTTTCTCTTGTAAGCAGATATAAAATCGGTTTAAATATGATACTAAGTTGGCATGTAGTAAAGTACCCTGTATGGAACTTTACTGCTTGGATTGTGTGGTGTGCATGCAGTAGAATTTATGAGGGCGAGGTTAATTACGCGACCATCAAAGACCGGAAAAGAGAGTCGCGTGGTGGAAATCGAATCCTGGGACCTTGAGTACGCGCGTCAAATGCTCCTAACCGCTGAGCTACAACTTCAACTCTCGATCCCGATGTTGTGGGTTTAGCGTATTTAACCTGTTAACATGAAACGAATTTTACCTTTTATTAAACCGTTTTAAATTATTATATAAAAATAGAACTCTGTCGTGCCTCGTATAATTACTTTAGTTCTTCGTAATTGACAGTAATAAAATATTTATAATACTTAACATATGGACTATTTAAAGAAATTTGAGAAGACTAAAAGTGACCTAAACGATTTGTTAGTCTTTTTCATTTCTGATTAAAATATTAATATAATATTGTATGTTTTTCCTCGGTGAATAATATTATAGTTTAGAAACATTAACTTTATCTTCTGCAGACAGGACTTTAGTTGCTCTTTTTCTTCTGACGAGGAAGAATTTAAGGGTTGTTTTTTTTTTTAAAATTGTTATTTACCGTTATTGGTTTATTCAAATATAGAGAATAAAAAAAGGTTTAGAAATTACTTTTTGCCTATTGAAAACCACTTGACCGGTGGAAGTAGACCCCTCCTTTCTTTTTTTCTTTTTGTAAGTCGTTCTTCTTTTTAATTCTTTTTTCATTAACTTTATTAAAAAAAGATCGATTTTTCCTGGTTTTTTATTTATTTGTATGAACGATATGACGTATTATGCGTTAAAGAATTCTGGTGGCAGACTCCTCGCATGCATTTGTCACCAACTTATTACTCCCAAGTAGTCTTTTCTTTCGTTACTATAGTAAGTTTAAACCTTTCAAAATTATTTTAACAAATTAGTTGTGCTTGTATTATAACGTTTAAAAATATATTATTCATACAATAATAAAATATTTTTAATAATATAGTTTAGTGTGCACCTTTCGTTAAGTTTCTTATAATAGTTTTCTTTAGTTTTGGTCGGTCTCGAAACTTTTGAAGTTTAGGAGACACTACTTTCTCGGTTACTTCCGTTTTAATGCTTCTGTCTGTCGCATTTCTTTGCATTTCTCATATATTTTTCAGGGTACATTTTTCTTACGATAAATATTATGCTGAGCTTACCGTTTGTCGTGAGTGTGTTTTTTAAAAGGGACCATTTATTACCTAACCTGTACTTTTTACGTCTAAATGCTGGCTTCAAAGGAATTACAAACTTCTTTTTTTTGTTTTTTTTGTTTTTAGGTACGTTCCTTCTTTTCTCCGTGTATGGAGTTCTTACAAGCTTCTTGTGGTAGATTTTACAACTCTTTGGTTAAAAATTTATAGAATTTGTTAATCACTGTTTTCCAGCAAATCTTTGCGCTAACCAATAAAGAAGATGGTTATGTTTCGAGAGTACTTTTCAGGAATGCTAATGTTCTTATTTTTGCTACTATGTTTTAATTTTTGTTTTTAATTTCCACGTGATTTGAATTCCTTATTTTTTTAAAAGGTTCTGCTCATCGTTTATATAATTGTCTGCTTTCTTATTATTGGAACCTGCACTTTTCGTTTTACTGCAAATTGTTTTGAGCAAAAGCCGTTGCATCCGTATTCTTTTGTGACTTGCTTATACTTTATGATCGTCACTCTTTCTTCAGTCGGGTCTGTGTTATATTTTTATTCATTATCCTTATTATTTTCATATTTCTTCGTTGGTTTAATCATTTCTTTATTAATATTTTTTATATTTATTATTACTCACAGCTTCGGGGATATCACGCCCTTCAACGCTATGAGGTTGACGCTTTGCTGTATTGCACGTGGTACTTTCACCATTTCCTCTTCCTCCTCTTGCAGTCGCATGTTCATCACAAGCTATATTATTCTCGGCATTGTACTTCTACCGCAGCTCATCAACGAGTTAATAACTTCCGTAGCAGAAAAAAAAAGAATCTACAAAGAATACGAGTCTGGCGTGAGGCCGCTTTTTCCCCCTTTTTCTTCTTTTCTTCACTTTTTTCCCTTTCATTATATGTGTGTAGCTTATAAGTAATACTTCTCATATCATTCTGGTGGGCGACTTGCAGTATACCAACACGTGCCCGTTTATCGCATATGCAAAATTTTACCTGGAAAACGGCACTTTCCGTTTTTTAATACCAAAAGTGCGATGCAGAATGCTCTATTCCGTCCGCATCTTTAACGATTTCCCCCCCCCCCCCTTCAGATTGTGATGCTCTCAACCTCGCCGTTGGGCAGGCGCCTTCAAGGTCTGCGTGCTTCCCACTTCTTGATTTCCAGGCCAACATTTTGATTGGCTCCTTAGACGTCCTTTCCGCCCCTGGAATGATGCAACTCTTCTTTCATTTACAAGGCATTGCGATTTCTTTTTTAGCACTGACTACTCGCTGTAGCTGCTGACTTCCAGGTTCGGCCCTGGACAACGGCGACCTTGCACGTGCGAAAGCGGGCAGGGCAAGCGCCATTTTTATATTGAAGGATACGACTCAAGTAAAGGATCCTCCTCGGAAGTCGGCACGCATTTCATACGTTTTCATCCGGCCTTGTTTGAATGCTTATTTTAGAGCTGGTCAAATGCGATGAGGCAAATATTATGCGGGCGCTCTCCATTTTTCTCTACGTTAAAAACTGCGAGATCTTCGTATATTTAAACAAAGTAATTTGCTTTTTCAATACCTTTCGTTATTATTTTTCAATAACTACTTTTGTTTAGGCTGAAAACAAACGTTTTCTCAACTTTGAAAGGTTTGCTAAGCGAAATGACTTCGGGCCTATCTTATAATCACATGTGCGCTTTTAGATCCGAGATTATGGGCCCGCGCCCGACCATTTCGCTGAATTGTCTCTGCGAAGACCAGCTGAAGTTATCTCTTCTGGCCTGTTCCCCCTTTTATTGTCATAGTTTTTTATAAATAGCGATAATCTTTTTTATTTCATAATAGTAGATTGCTTGTTTCCAGGAACATTTGCTTTTCTTTTTGCTTTGGCCGTTCAGGTTTGTTGCTATGTCGCTTTGCTAGCAGTCTAATGCCTACTCCTGTATGGTCACGCAGCTCAGCTTCAAGGACGTCTCCAGCTTATCTTCAATGTGCGTGAAGGCATGGAGCAAAGAGTATCTCAAGTCCGTCCGCCAGTCGCTGTATCCTGTGTCAATGCAATGTACTTCTCATTCGCTTGTACACGCTTAACCGTCCAATAACGAGGCGTGCACCGCCCAGCATATAAGCATATCCACGGACAGCCCTATCGCGTATTGGTAAAAAAAATTTACCAGCACACGAGCTCGATAGTGATGGGGTTGAAAAGGGCAAGTGACAGGAGCTTTATTGTCACTCCTATCGACTGCGTTATCCACTCAGACGACCTACTGTACGGGCTGGTTGTGCTTTTCAATGAGCTTTTTTCACGCTTTAAAAAAAAGGTTTATCTTGTCGCGGGCAAACAACATCGTCACAAAAGTGATCCCTTTTTTGAAAACTTTCGGACTTAAAAAAGAGTAAGCCGCCTAGTGCTATGGCGTTGTTTTAGCGAAATAAGAGGTTAGAGTTAGAGTTTAGAGGAGAATCACTAGGAGATCTTTTAACGTAGCTGCTGACTAGTTTTAATAACCCCGTGCAGGGCAAAACGGAGCGTCCGGCTCAGTTTACCCCAAGTGACGGTCAGAGCAGTATCTACGCATCCCAATAAAGCCCAGAAACCGATCATTTCTAACCTTGTACAAACCCGTCCAGCAACACCAGCGTCTCCGTTAAGCGATCCTTGGCTGCACTATCCAGACGGTAAGTGTCTTACTGGCTGCCGTTTTTGTTCGTGGCCTCCTTTAATTGGTGATAGTTGCCGAGCCGTCGAGTACTATTTTAACTTCTACTGATTTGAGCCCGATCAGAGAGGAAGTGCTCGGTTCTCAATTTTTAAATCAGGATTACCCTGTAACCTACACTTTTGCAGCTAACCTCAATAGTCTTAGCACTCATTGTTATACGATAGATAAACTTTCCTCCACTTCCCCATGAGGGGGCTTCCGCCCAGCTTTCCTACTTGACTAAAACACCTTTATCTTTATCGGTAAGTGTATGCTAAAGTTTAATGCCATAAAATACTGCAATTTAGTCATCTAGGAAAGTACCCTCAAAGATCCACGTCGTTTAAAAGAGGGGCACATCATTTTGTTTTCAAGAGACCATCACATCTATTATTTTGTCTCTCGCTTACGCCGGGCGATTGTGACTCCATCATTTGTAATAAATTTATACTCAGCTACTACAACTTATTAGATTATTTTAAAACTTTTAGCTGAAAGATATTGTACTATTAAGCCCCGACCCGCCACGCGAGTCTGTCTGGAGGCAGTACAGTTGTTTTGCCGATGTTTGGTTTTTTCAGGGTCACCCGTACGACAAGCAAACATTAAAAGTAGATTATATGCTTTTATAAGTACAAGTAGTCGTCACCTTTTGACTTACCTTTAGAGTATCGGTCTTGAAAAAGCAAGTTTCTTTATACTACTGAAGGGTAGGCATCACGCAGAAGACCCATGCGTTAGCGATTCGGAAAATGTTTTATTAGCAAAGTTTATTAAAGGTCGGTTAAATTTTAAAAAGTATTTTAATAAACAAAGAGCTACACCCTTTCCGTCAGACTCGTGCAGCAGACCCGTTGGGGACCCGCCACTTCGCCTTGTAACCGGTTTGTTAATAGCACGCTACTTCCTAGTTATTAATTAATAGAAAACTTAATTTTTTGCTAGAATTAGACTGTCGAGGGTCTTATAAATATCTGTGCAGTGACTTTTACACATACGAAAAGTACTCCATCGGATCGTATAAGTGTTTTTAAGGTGTATTATTATAAATTATAATACTGTTATTAGCCATGTGGACTTTTTGTTCGAAGAAAGCTTCTGCAGCGGTAAAGTTTGGTCCAACTTTTTATTGCAATACTTGATGGTTCCGATGAGTTCAAACCAGTGTAAGTAGTTCGCCTGCTATTTGCCTTGGCCCCGCGCTAGTAAAGCTTACTCGATGCTGCAGGTGTCTATGAGTTTATCTGCAGCTTGGCAGAGATCGAAGAAAATTCAGCAATTGCCAACCTCCACAAAGTCTTCGTTTTACTTATAATCTACACTTTTATTTATATTATCTTAGATCGATACTCCGGTAGAGATGGTCAATAAGCCAGTACAGTATTTTTTTGATTATTTTTTAGGTACTATATTGCCGCCAACGAGTATAGCACACTGTTTTTAAGAATTTTCTTTCTAATATGTAGAGAAACATAACTTCCTGCTTATTGGGATACAACGAGCAGTGCATTCAATTTTGGAAAACACCGCTCCGTACAGCGTTTTAAACCCGAACAACAAGGCAATAGTTTACGCGAATGACAAACTGTTTCTAGTAAAAATGGCGCAAACTAAAAGCTTGTAATGTCACATAATTGGGAGTTTAAGGAAAGCGAATATAAAACATGATAAAAGGCTTTTATAGTTTTATAAATTTCACTTTAGCGCAGTAAAGTGTCAGGGTTTATCGACCTTGTCCTCCTTTTCACTGTTTTCTTTCGATTTCTTGGACTCTGAAGATTTTTTTTTTAACTTTTCAAGTCGGTCTTTGTTCTATTGCTCATAAAAATATGTTTAGTTGTCTTCAATAAAGTGTTGAGTATACATTCATTTATACCGTAACAACAAAAACAAATTAATAATTTCTAATAATATACATAAGAATTTACAAGTTAGTGAATTTAAAAGGTACAAGTTGGGGTAGACTTGATTAAGAATACTTAACTTGAGTACAGAGAAAACAATATTTTAAACAATTTTAAAGAACATATTTGTATATTTATAAAAATTTAAAAGGAGCACACCTCTTTATAAAAGTATGCTTCTTCTTGAGCTAATTGGCGCTCGGCTAGTTTACCCCCTAAAAAGAAACAAACTACTTGTATCGGTAAGTTTAAAGGTCATACTTAAAAAAGTTTCCTGCAGTTTTTATTGTCCCTTCTGTTCCACTTCCTCGTAGAACCAGTGATGAACGAGAAGGGAAACATGCTCCTGCGGTAAAATAAAAAGAAGCATTTATACAGTAGAAAGTTTTTAGAAATAAGTCTTTCAATTACATATAGCGAAATATTGAGTTAAACAAGGAAACCTGCCGACTTCCTAAAGAAGTTAATAATTTTCGTCATAGTTTCGCAAGCCGGTGGCACTTGTAAGACTATACTTGGCTTCAAGTCGGTGAAACCGGAGGAATTACAAGGAATCGAAGGACGGACCCTTTAAAACCTTAAGTTTGGGTGATAGGTTATGTTAAGGTCAAAGCTAGTGGGTGGTGGTTATTCTCTGCGACTAAACTCTAAGAACTATGAACGCTGTATTGGCAAAAATCACCTTTTTACTTTTCGCTCGTTGCTTATAGCCCCCTAAATTTCAGCGGTAAAGTTGGTTTACAAGTTTAAAACAGGGGGACCTTTCAAAGTGGGAGGCACACAACCTCAAATAGCTACCTATGCAACCAAGTTGTGACTCCCTCATAGCCAGCTAACCTTTAGCTTTCGTACTGTTTCGTGCCTGCTGAAGTCAAATTCTTAATACGTACTTTCTCGCCTTTTAGGTTATGGTGATAAGGCTTTACTGCTAGTGTGAGTGTATTTAATGACTTTACCATGCTTTCCAGCCTATATAATTAGGACAACTGTTTTTATTTATATAATCACGACACTCTGTCAAAATAAATGTTCTGCCTCAACTAAAATTTTTTTAAGTAGCTCTTCTCTACGGAAAGGGCTTAGGTCCAAATCTTGATTAGCTTAACTTTGCACCACGCGTCTAAACTGAAAAAGTAAATAATAGTATTAACGAGCGATGAAATTCGTAAACTTTTTTCTTAGTTTTTATTTCTAAACATACATTATAGGTAATAATAAAACTTGGCTCTGTGTTTTTCTAGCTCGTAAAGACCTTCTAAAATTTCATAAAAAAGTCAGTACCAAAATAACTTTATAATTACAATCAGAAATTCACCTTTAGGAAAATTTTTAATATGTAATAATGGCATTAACCATTTTAGCTGATACCACACTATCACACAATTTACTTAGAACGCCTAAGTACATATATATTTTGTTTAAGTGATACTAAAGGGGGACCTTACTAAATAGCGCAACGCTGGACTTTGTCAATTTAGTAGTTCTAAGCTTGAGCCTTTTTAAGTTAATTAAAGAGTATTGCTTGGAAAATGGTTAGGGTATAGTTCTGAAAATTAAAAAGGAATCAAATATATATGTATAAATTTCAACTCCCTCAACACAATCCTAGCTCCCTTGGGTAGAATTATTCCATTACTACACTCTTAAGTGTCTCGCCGATACAATATGAAGAACGATCTAGGATGGTTTCCAGTAAGGTTGCGGAAGAGAGCTTTCTTTTAATAGCAAGAAAAATGTTTTTAAAGTCCTAATTTGTTAAACAAGACTTTAAGATTATTGTGGAAATGCCTTTCGTTAAATTTTAAAGTAGAGCTGTTATTTCCGGAATAACATGATAGATAGGAAAAGGGAGATAGAATGTTGCTTATAGCTAATTATCATGGCCCAATCAGTATTTTCACAAAATTCTCATTCGTGTCCAAAAAAAATTCATTTCCACCCCCAACAGGACTGGGCAACTGACAGGTTGACAATTCGGAAAGGGTTTAATATGAAAAAGTAAACGTATATTATTTAAAGGCTATCCCCCAGTAATTCACCGAGCCCGGTGTTTAACTAATTACTTCCTTTCGCCCACGGTTTTAGTATTTTTACTGTCGGCAGCGGTTCCTTGAGGGATGTTTCACTTTAAATCTTACCCAACAATGAATGAATAATCACCTCCAAACAATTTATCCAAATTTTTTCAATCAGACTCTCATTCGGAGGTTTATAAGTAGATAAAATATTTACAGAATCAGCATTCTTAAGTTTAGTACAGATACCAGTTGCTTCCTTCTTGCTTTCAATAAGTGTTTATGTATATACGTGGGCTGTCCGGCGGAAAGTCAGCCTCGTCTAAAAGGGGGTGCTCAAAAAAAAACATAGACTGTATGTGTGCACACATGCTAATAGCTGGCGTGTCAAATTTTATTATTGATGTAACAGTTATTAAGTAAACGTCAAACAAACAAATATGCCTAGTAAAACCTTGTCGTTTTGGATATTTGAATATCGTGCCGTGATAAGGTACCTTTTAAAATAAGGTAAATGTGTCAAAGAAATTGAGGAATTATTGGCAACTTATCCACAGTATGCTCCATCATATGCATTAGTCAAAGGGTAAACTAGGCTATTTATAAAAGGGAAGGACGAGAGTCATATAAAGACGATGAGCACCCAGGAACGTCATGAACGATCGTTATAAAAGAAAATATAAAAAATGTGGAAAATTCGTCCTCGAAGACCATGCCATTTGGGTAGGTCAAAATAGCAGAGGAACTAAAAATCAGCTAGGATTGTGTTAGATAAATCCTTCCTAGTCATTTACTAATGAGCAAACTGACCGTGTTGGGTGTAACTCCGCTAGCTCAGGAACGAAGAGTCAAAAGTTTGCGTGGCTTTCTTCGTTTATTTGAGAATAATTTGGATGCTATTTGTAATCGCATTGTAATCCGTGATGGACCAGGGATTTTTAAGTACGATCCATAACCCAAACAAGTGTTCATGTGATGGATAAAAACGAGAGAAAAACCACCGCGCAAGTTCAAGGTTCAAAGGGCAGCTACCAAACTTATAGCATCTATATTCTGGGAAAAGGGTGGAATACTTGTAGTGGATTACCTGAACAACGTATAGGGAATATTATGATCACTTAATTACCCGATGGCCACAAGCCATTAGTGAGAAACACAAGGAAAACTTTTCCATAGGGATGCTCCTATTACAAGATAACGGGTCGGCTCACACAGCCCAAGCGCATAGCGTGCTTACGAAATATGGGTTTCGAGGAAATTATCCATCCACCTACAGTCCAGATCTGGCCCTCAGTAATTTCAGAATAAATAAGGCTTTGCGTTAACAAATTTTCCGCTGAATACGAAATGAGACCTACTATAGATGAGCTTTCTGCCTACGAAGTTTCAGGAATATTTTTTTTCGCTGGATAAAAACAACTGCACGGTCTCTATGAAAGGTGTATTGAAATAGATGGAGGTTATATTAAGAAATAAAAGTATAATAGTTTTCAAAAATTAGTCTTACTACCCTATGCTCACTCTCCGCCGGACAGCCCTCGTATATATATGGTCCACTCGTACAATAGTCATACACTTTTTAGATTGAACACTAAACTGTAATCACAGTAACCTACCAATGTTTTAAGCCTTCAAGATTGATAGCCAAGAATCCGATAAAACACGTAAAGTGGCGTCCGCAGCGTATTGAGGTAGGTCGGACGTGTAGATAGAAAAAGTAGAGGATGATAGAGAGTCTGGAAGGACAGCAACCTCTAAAATTCTAATCACGTCCTCCACAGAGTCTACTATAGCAGCAAAGGTTCTATATGTTAGGTATAAACGTTTTATTACAAATTAAGTAAGAGGGAGGATTACCCAGTAATCATCTTGTAAACTAGACTACCATGCCATATTTCATCAAAAGCCCTTTTAAAATTTAAAAGATCATAAGTGGGGGGTTATGGAAATTATACATTAAGGTGTCGGTTCCTCACTGCTTTAGCCTAAAATGCATTGTAATACATTGCTTCTTTAAGCTTAGTCATAAAATAACAAAAAACTAAATTAACTGAAAGATTTAGGGAGGTAAATCCAAAAAACCTACTATCTGCTTTAATCTAGCTTGCGCCTCCAAGCATGAATTCTTTAATCGGATCAATTTTAAGTTGCGACCTTATCCGGATAAGCTATGTATATCACTCAAACGAGTAATGTGTCCAGTAGTTTCTTCGTTAGAGCTTGATAAACCTTTTCTTTTAATTATTAGTATTCTTCCTAGTATAAAAAACAAACCAAGAAAAATATCAAATATATTTTAAAAGTTTATTTTAAAATACTCATATTTTTCCATACACATAGTTATATATATCGCAAAGGTTCCTTTGCATTTTTGATATTTTATTTGGGAAAAATGTGGCACCTTTTTTTTTGGTGTTAAATGCCTAATTAAAGAAAGTATAAAAGCTTTACTCTTTTTAGGCACGTAGGGAAATAAGCGACATGTCTTTTATAAAACCGAAAATAGTAAGTATTTCTTCTATACCTTTATTGGGAAGTAATTAGCATGATGGGTCTCTTTTTTTTTCTTTCAGTGCCAACCAGTGTTAATCCTTTTAATAAAGACGACGAAGCTAACTCAAAGTCTATCAAAAAAGTTAAGGCAAATTACGTTGAGACCTGTAGGATAATATGGTTTATTAGTCCTGAAACCACTCTAGCAGCTATTTTCTTTTTGTTAACAATATTGAATGCCTTGTTTATTATTTTTTTGTGAAGGAATACAGAAGGGCTCCCCTAAGGTTTA